TTTGCATATTTATAACGGACTTTATAGCCATCAACAGGAACGAAATGTTCATTTCCTATTTTTGTCAGTGTATATTATGCACAGATGCCACACCATAATCCACAAACATGTAAAATTCTAGTAAAATTTTTAAAGGAATTCTGTCCCACATATGTAATTTGAATTTTGAGTGCCAGCATTTAGTCAGTGGCTCACTTGCTGGTTGGTTGGTGTTACACGCTTTTGTGTTCCAAATTAGATATTCAATAAACCTGGTTTCAAAACCCTGGGAGTTGCACTGAGAGATGCCACAGGTGCCTTGGTTTTTCTTCCTGAAGATGATCCTACTAGGGAGCTATCAATCACGAGTTATCATTGGATAGTTACCCTAAAATCCCCTTTAAATATCCATACATGTATTCTGTTGATTCTGTATCTCTAGAAAGCCTTGACTAATAGCAAAGAGGAATGTTTGTATATCAAATAAATCTCTGTGAAAACAACTAGCCAGTTTGTTTTATCTAAATAATTATGCGACCAACATACTTTCATATTTAAAATAGACATACTTAAGGAATAAGGATAAGAACTAAACAGCTCCTGGTGCGGTATCCTAGTTGCTGAAGTCCTCACCTTGCACATGCCAGTATCCCATATAGGTGCTAATTCATATCCAAGCTGCTGTTTTCCCCATTTAGGTCGTGGCCTGGGAAAGCAGTAGAGAAAGGCCCAAAGCCTTGGTACCCTGCACCGGGGTGGGATACCCAGAGTAGGCTCCTGAGTCCTGGGTTTGGATTGTTCAGCTCCAGCTGTTGCGGCCACTTGGGGAGTGAACCAGCAGATGGAAGATCTTTCTGTCTGTCTATCCTCTCTGTAAATCTGACTTTACAATTAAAAAAATGAATAAAAAAGAACTATACAGCTCTTGGAATCATCACAAGAAGCCTTAGATAGTTTATTTTTTCCAGAGTATCTAAAGCCACATAAATGAATCTTACACTAGCACTGGGAGAATATGTTCACGTAAACAACTAGAACTCATCTTTAATCCTCACTCTTGCGTATAAACTGAAAAATAAGATTATTACAAGACATGACACATTAATAAATAATACCTAATTAGTTTGATAATTCTTTGATTGGGCTTTAATTTTCCTTGCTTCCCAGGCAGCAATTCAAATTGCTCTGTGTTATTTATTCCTCTTCAGACTATTTTAGAACATGTTTTGAATAGTCCCAGTGGGTAACCTGAGAAGGAAAAATTATTCTTGTCTGACAGGAGGTCCGTGCCATTAATAGTGACAGCACTAGACCCAAAAGACACTGTTATGAAAGTTCCTTCCCTTCAAAAATAATGCTGTACAGCCTGACACCTTTTCAGAAGAGTTGGAGACAAAATCCTGAGAATGTGTGAGAAATGTGAGAAATGGAAGCATAGGTCCTATTTATGTTCTTTTCTGGACCCAAAGTTATCCATAAGTTCTCAAAATAGAGATCATTTTAACTAGTCGTCATCTAGAACCTAAAGCACTGTATAATCAGGACACTGAGGGTGGAGATATCAGTTAAGTGTATCCAGCCAGAGGACTTGAAACTATTGCTGTGTAGATTCCACTATTTATAGTGACTAGAATCTGTAACAGATTGATTTGAACAAATGGGACAATCTGATACATTTATTTTGAAGAGCTTCTTCAGACTACAAATAATCAGAGAGCAATTCCCACATGGTTAGGCCGAATCCAGGGTTGATCCACTCCCTTACTTAAGCATAGCTTCTGTGCCATTTTTCTCTCACTTTCGCCTATTTGTGGTGCTTATGGTTTACTAACACATGCAGCAAACCATTCTTTGCTAATTCTGAGCATCTGTGTCTGGAGAGTCTATCAATAACTCCTCTAAGAAATTTTTATACAGGCCCATTTGCAACGCTTAGAAACCTGTCATCATTTAATATAACAAAATTGCTTCCATGAAGGAATAAGCAGGGCTTTTCTGGGATGATCACCAATATATATTTTTTTGTTGAGACAAATACTACACATCATGAATTCAATTCAACAAACATGCTGTGCTTCTAGCAAGGTATGAGACAGTGTGGATTTAAGGATAAATGTTCCTTGAAGATGTGTATATAAGGCAATAAAAATATTTACTAGGAAAAAATGACAAATTACAGGAAATGATTAAACTTGAAATACGTAAGAAGTTGTGTGTGGAAAATTACAATTTAGTTTTATTTAGAAACCACCATCCCACTAACTATATCAAAAAAGATTGTTATCATGAGTGTAACCAAGTATGCTTAAGCACTACTTTATCTGGATAATTTAAACCTAATACATTTATTCCATAAAGTTTACTATCTCACAGATAAGGAAAGAACTTGAAGAAAGTTAAGAAACTTAACTGAGATCATTTGAACTTTTAAAATAAAAATAATTTATTCTTATGGCAGTAGTTATTTTTAATTATTTGTATCAAATATTTTTCATATATATATATATTAAAGGCAAAACAGCAATAAGGGAGAGAAAAAGGGTTCCTGTCCACTTCTCACTCCATGAATACCTTAAATGAACAGTTCTGGGATAGGACTGAATTAAGAAGCAAATGATGCTATTTCAGCACCCCATGTGGGTGGCAGAAGTGCAAGCAACCACATCAATACTGCTTCCCACGGTTTGCACTGACAGGAAGCCCAAGCCAGGAGACAGAGCTGGGAGTCAAGCTCAAGTATTCGCATGTGGCACAGGAGAGTCTTAATCTAAAGTCTCACTTCTGTCTAAATCTTGGTTCTTGGTTTCATTGCCTGGCTCTTATCGTTTTCTCTCTTACTTGTTCAGAAATTTTCCTGCAGTTAAATCTGGGAATTTTGCACCACTAGTCATGTTGTTTACAGGTAACCAGGATATCAAAGACCTTAGACGTTAGAATAACTTATGAAAAAAAACTACATGTTTTCAACTCTGAGCAGTCTCTGAAACAGTTCAGAATATTCCACTAATTAAAAAAAAAAAAGATTGAGTATCTGATTCCATCATATTTGGAGGCAGTGGTAGGCCCTGGCTGAACCCATTCAGTCTGTTCTGGACTCCTCAGACTCCTAGGATTTTCACATCTTGGGATGTTCACCTCTAATGAATAAAATTAAAATGAAACAATAGGCAAAACTCAATCAAGAAGGAAAGAAAATTATTGTTCCATTTTAGGTTTTGAAAAGGACCAGTTCTATTGCTTTCCTTATTGCACTACTTTCTAGTGTATAGCTTTGCAGGCATCATTATGAGTCTTCACTCATGTCTAGATTTCCCTTTCCACATGTGTAAACACAATTGGTTAAGATAGTTTGTAGCAGTTTGACCTGCAACATGAATATCATATACAGCCATTATACATAGTTCCTACTACTGCATCATCCCCATTCCATTGTTAACGGTTTCCTAAGTTTTGTCTTTGCTTGCTTCAAAACTGTTTAGCCACCAGCTTTACCAATGTCCCACACATTTTGCTGGGTAAGATTGCCGTCTGATCACGCTGCACAAGATGTTAATTCCTTGTCAGTATTCCAGTTAAAACCTTTCAACAATTCTCTCCACTGCCAAATATCAAGCTCTATATGATTGATCAAGTATTGTGTAATCTGCTTCCAAACACAGATCACTCATTTCTTGCTGTTTTCTGATCTAGTTTGCACTCATGCCAGCTTGATCTCCTGATTGTTTTATAAAAGCGGATGACTGCCTCAAGCACTGCCAACAATCCTGTTCATTTTCTCTTTCATTCATAAACAAACAATGCCGAGTCTGCATATTTGTTAGCATTTGGTGAAATAGCATTCATTGCCCAAGCTTTTGATTCACATTATCTTTCCAGACAGCAGGATTCTCAAATGCTGCTCTCTTGAAACTTCCAACACATGAAGGCTATGCTATGTAAAAAGGCTAATATATGTAAATATAATTCCTAAACCTTAAAGTTTTTCTAGTATTATTAGTCTCTCTGCTCTTCCTTTTCTACTTGTTATAGTAACGGATTTCCTTTTCTTATTCGACATTCTGTGCTGTGTTCTTTTGCGGTCTACTAAGCAAATACAAGGCATTCAAAATTCATTCTTTGACTTTTGCTGGTCACACGTCTGCCCTCTGTTTTTCCACCTCTGTTTTCTCTGAAATGCTATTTTTGAGAACCTGCTTATTTCACAGATTTGTGAAAAAATTAAATATGATAAGGTATGGGAAGACAGTTGTACTAACCCCCGGCATTTAGCAGCTGCTAAAGACATGATGTTTCTATTGGAATCTACACAACATCTCTTCACTACTGAATATTACCTGTGCTAGTACTGGCACACTGGTGCCAGTTTCTGTTCCAGCTATTCCACTTCTGATCTGGATTCTGCTGATTAAAACAGTGGAAGGCAGCCCTAGTTTTGTGTCCCTGCCACACATGTGACGGACCCAGGGAAAACTCCTGGTTCTGGATCCAGCTTGGCAAAATCCTGGCCACTGTTTTCATCTGAGAGAATGAATTTCTCTCTTTCTCTTTCTCTCTCTCTCTCTGACTTTCAAATAGATAACTCTCTTTAAAAAATAAAAGAAAGAAAGGAAGGAGAATAATTTTCGGTAAACTCAGTGTCCAACTTCTCAAATCCTGTCCAAATGTGTGGACTTTGATCCCATTCACTTCCTGTCCATTTTATTCAGGACATTAATCTGATTATTCAGATCAATAACATATGCATAATTTTCTATTCTCCTTCCCATTTTTTTCTATAAGTCCAATGGTTCTATGCTTATAATGGAAATTTTTAGTTTTTGGTTTTTAGGTTTTGTTGTTGTTGTTGTTTTTGGTTTGTTTGTTTTGTCTTTTTTTTTTTTTTTACAATAATTCAAACAGTCTCTATTGCTCTAGGACAGGTCAAGTTTCACTTCCCTTCCTTGGACTTTTAGAATTAAAGTGAATTGTATTCACTTTGACCTAGTTCATGGAAGATTAACAATCTTTCTTTCTCTTTCTAGATTCACTGAGGACCAACTGAAGTGGACTACTTGTAGCTTCCTGCCTTGGCATGGCCAGAAGATTTGGTGTTAGACATCAGGGTTTCAGAAAGATAATCTTACATTTGAATCTTTCGTGTGTCAAAAGACCTGGGTAAATCATTTATATACTTCAAAACTCCATATGCCATCCACGAAAGAGTAAAGAGTAATGTTATTCTCTCAAGATTTTTATTACGTTTGTAAGATATTTCACTATTCTAGCAGAAAATAAATACTCAACAACTTGTACTCACAAAAGAATGCACTTCGCATACAATTGCATTTTTGCATTGTATGTCTTCATTGTCAGGTTTACATAGACACATCCTAGCATGCTCAAGTTCTATTTCAATTGTCATGCCTTTCATAAGATGATCTCTGCTCTTTCACAATAAGAATACTATCTTTTTGGAAAGAAATTACAGTAAAAAGCACAAAATGGAGAAGGTGAAAAAGTCCATACATTATTTCATGCACTTATTTTTAACAAGTTTAAGAAGCGACCTTATTAAGAAACAGAGACTCGAAATAATTAAAACAGGAAAACATTTGAAGCTAGCTTATGAAGCCACCAGGGTTGTATGTTCTCCAGTTATTGTCAGTAAACTCTCAAGGTTGATTTCAGCCAATGTGTTGAAGCTTGCCTTACTCTCCCCTTCCTTTCTCCTTATTTTCCTCCCTTCCTTATTTCTTCTTTCCTTCCTTTCTTTCTCCCTTCCTCTTTCTCTCACTTTTTATGATAACTCTATTTGAAGGAAATAATGTTTCACAATTTTTTCTCTTATAGCTATTTCAAGGAATGAAGGAAAAATCTATGTTTTAATTGAATAATACACATCGTGTTTTATAATTACCATTTGACATCACTGGGACATTTGAAAAGTCAAGGCAAATCATTATGCCTTCATTGTTTTTCTGTCACGCAATTTCCATTTTATCCACTTAGGAAATATTTCATTATTGTTCATCACTCTTCACAATGATGTTGAAGAATAAAATCATTTAAAAACATAACATAATATATTGTATGTCATCACTACTGTATCCTTACTCGGGTTTCACATTGTACTGACAAAAACATTATAAAATCATTCAAGAAAGTATAAGAGAAGCTTCAAGATAGCATTTTGATAATGTATTTTTAAACTCTCTAAGTCATAAAAATTGGACATATTTACAAGGAACCATGGAATGTCTGAATATACATGTATATATTCACACGATGCAATCTTTAAGTCAAAAACTATATAAATATGTGAAAAGTTTGCCATTATTTCATGCTATTAACATTAAAATTATCTTTTGTAGCTTAATGCGTATGTATGTAAGTTATATGATAATCAAGCTACTAAGCACCGTTTGCAATTCAGAAATTTTACTTTCCAACATTAACTGCAACGAGAAGGAAGATGACAAAGGAAGATATTTCACAATTATTCCATGAATCTGAAGATGAATGCAAGAAGATACAGCAGTGTGCTAGACCAATGATTAGAGTGAAATTGAAATTGATTGAACGTGTGAAATCTCAGACTATGAATCTTTGAAGACAATGACATTTCAAATTCATGAAGCAATGAAGGAAAAAGTACATTTTAAGGGAAAGAAAAGAGATGACATTTTTATTTAGCTAGCCATGGCATTCTTCATTTAGCTAGCCATTTAAGAGGAAAGACTTTATCATGCTGTATTTTATCACAAAAGCCTAGTGCTTCCCACTTTGTTAAATGCATTTATTGTAGTACTTTTTTCATTTAAAAATGTGCCAACTGTAAGGGTATAAGTGCACAAATGCTGAATAAAGGCGAACAGTATAGAAAAAGAAGTAGGCAAATCATAAATAAAAATAAATAAGTTAACAATAGTGATATCTATAAATGTCAAAAGATGCTATTTTTCAAATAGAATGAAAATGATGTTTTCTTTTCAGCAAATCTAAGACCCAAAGATGATTTTCAAAAATCAAGTATTACACAATGATCAGACAAGTTCTAGAAGACACATAAAGGAAAATATGCAGACATCGATAAAGATATGTTTGAAATCTGGAATCAACAGTTACAAGAAGGATGAAGGGCAATCTCCTATATGAAAGTTAATGAGCAAATTGCTCTTTCTTGTCTATGTTCCTGAAAGCATGTACACATACATTTTTCTCTTGAGAATGTACAAAAGAAATATCTAAAATTTCTATGTTTTTATATGTTAATTCAAATTGTCACAATTCCTTTGTTCTTACTCAAATAAAATTATTGAGGTAATCTTAAAAACAATTGAAATGTTTAGATGATCACTTAAAATACTGTTTTATTCTGGTATTCTAAGATTAAAATGGACATATTCTGAATTTGTGTTTCTTACTTTCCAAATTATCTTAGGTATACAATGACTAATATTCCGTATTTATCTCTTTTTTTGAAACATGAAAGTCTCAAAGTTTTTGTTAAGAAAAAACAATTTGGTGTTTAGGATCTAAAGTAAGATGTGTTTATATAACTATGCGTATCTTGAACTAAAATTTTTGTGATGTGTAAACATGGCTGAATTTCACCTAATCATTTTTGCAGATCTGAGTTCTATAATATGCTAGATTCGATGTTTAAATACTCATAGCTAAGGTGTAATTAATTTGATCTCTTCTAAGTGGTATTAAACCAGAAATATAGCTAAGTACCACTAAAGTTAAAAAGAAGGAGAAAAATGATAGTACAAATTTATTCCTTGAGTTTTTTCCAGGTACAAATTTAGGACTCACGAATTAGAATATAGTTGGCAGGGGCGGGGAGAGGGGCGGTGGGGAACCTTGTTATAGTCAGAGAAGATTCTGACAGGTGTGTAGCCACAACTTTAAGAGAATAAGTGACACCAAAAATGGATGAAATCAACTTAACATATAAACTCTGGGGTTAAATAAAAGTTGGACAATTGCTGGAATTTTAATGGCAAGATCACTTTTAAGGGAAAAACTCTATGAAACTTTAATCATAATGGCCAGAGAGATAAAAGCTGGAAAAATCACTAAAATCACCAGAAAAGCACACTAGCCCTGGTCCTCTTCCTGGACATTGAAATTGGTTTCTTTATCTACAGTGAATGTTACGAGGCCTGGGAACCAGGTTTCTACAGTTTGGATGATTGCACAGAAATCCACATGATTCATTAATCCCAGGAAGCATCTGATCAAGAAGAATATGAAAATGTCAAGCAAGACCGTGAGAGCTCATCTACATTCTGTCTACCAAATGTGTTATGTAATTTGTATAGCTGCCACTGCTGCTTTAAACACATACACACACACACACACACACACATTTAAGGATAGAAAGAAATAGGGATTACTGGAAGCTTAAAATAGACAAATCTAAAGAATTTAACTTTGCCTTCTACATGATCAATTTCCAAGGAAATGAAAAACACCATAAATTTAGAATTGACAATGTTGCAGATTTCTGTCTTGATCAGACTGAGTAAACTTATCATGGAAAATGAAAAGTAGATGATTTTCAGCTGTAGAGGAAAGGTGAGCGTTTACAGGTTTATGACAGTATCATAAGACAGCCATATCTTTGCATCTCTATCTCTGTCTCTGTCTCCATGGGCAGTAAATAGGCCATTAAAGCACACTTAATAAAGGTGCATCAGTCATACAGTCAAGCTATCTTTGAGATCATTAAAGGCAGCAGTGAGTATTTTTGCCCAGGGGAGAACCTCAGGGTTCCTAAAATGCCAACAATTACAAAATGTTGATTCATGTTTGTTCTTATTTCCCATAGGGACAATGCTGAGTACATGTTCACTTCTTAGGTTAACAGAATTTCCTCATTTTTTAGTTTAACAGAGTGCACCTGTACAGTATAATTTTATTTTGATAAAACAAAGGCATCTCTTCTCAGTTTAAAATAGCTTAAGACGAATCCTATAACTAAGGTACAGTTTACTATTCACAATAGTGTAGCATATATTTCCAATTTTCTTTTTTTTAAAGATTGGTTTATTACTATTATTATGTTTTATTGGAAAGACAGGTTTACAGAGAGAAAGAGAGACAAAAAGATCTTCCATCTGCTAATTTACTCCCCAAGTGGTAGCAACAGCCAGAGCCGAGCCAATCTGAAACCAGGAGCCAAGACCCTCCTCTGGGCTCTCTGTCACATAGGTGCAGGATCCCAAGACTTTGGGTCATCCTCTCCTGCATTCCCAGGCCACAAACACGAGCTGGATGGAAAGTAGGGCATCTGGAACATGAACCAGTGTCCACATAGGATTCCAGTGCACTCAAGGTGAGGATTTAGCCACTAGGCTATTGCACCAAGCCCTTCAATTTTCAACAGACATCAGAAAGAGCAATTTAACTCATCTTCATGTATATAGATGAAATATCACATTAGAAAATTTGAAGACATCTCAAAAGTGTTTAATATTATGTGCTAAAAGGTAAAAATGGGGATTTAATATCAAGATTGGATGTTTGCACATCTCATCAACAAGGTTTTTCTATCTTGAACTTTAAGCTGTCTATTTTTGAGGGTGTGACAGTATTTTTCGAAGGAAATGTTGTGTCTCCAAGGGAAATATAAAATCGCAGTTTTAAAAATTCATTTCCAATAATTAATAATGGACTTCAGGTAAACAATACCAGGTGCTGCACTAATTCTAAACAGAAACAGATGGAAGTACAAATGTTTTCTAAATAGTAGATACATGCAGAGCACTAAACTTGGCAGGAACTGTTTGATTTTCCAATTGTCAGAGTCAACATTTTATCTAAATGAATACACACAGATGAAGTCCTTATTTCTCACTCCTTGCTTCTAAAAATCCATTTAGTGCTCCATTACTCCACTCTATCCCTGGCTTCACTGACAAATATTCTCGAATGCTTCTTTAGTACATTGAGAAATGTCACACAGCTGTTAAGTGACATAACAGACACACCACACAGCCCCCCTTGCTCATGCTTCCTGCTTCCTAGCACCTAGGCAAGACACACTGATCTAAATACCCTTTCATTCCTTAAACTTTCATCATAATCAATATGGATGGGTGAAAGAAAACAAATTCTATTGAATTGGGGGATTATTTTCAGGAGTAGAGGGCACTGCTTCTTTTGCATCTGAAATCGTTGACTTCTTGGATATATTCAATGCCACACTCCCTATGGTCATAAATAAAATCCTCTTTGCAGGGATGGTTTTGCTATTATTTATGATGTTAATTTATTTTAGATTATCCAGAAATTAATGATTAATATTGTGGCTGTTAAACAACTAACATTGTTCACTGACTCATATAATTCCTGACACTGTTTCTTGTGATTTTATTAATTGATGCTATGAGAAATTTTAGTGGCAGAAAGAATATAATGTTTTTCCTCAGATAATTCAACATTAAAATTAGTGGAATTTTAAAAATACATATGTTTCATTTTTTGAATCTGTTCTCAGTAACAATATAGATCAATATCGCACAGAATTAATGGTTGTACACAGATAGCCGAAAGGACTTAGAAGGGATCTGTCTAAATCATCACAGCAGAACAAACTGAGCAGAAAACCTTTTTCTTTCAAATGAATTTATAGTGTGAGTGTTGAAGGCTTAACCATCCCATACAGTAGTGTCTGGGAGCAATGTCGCTTGTACTTCCAATCCAGCTTAGTGGTAATGACACCTTGGGAAACAGCAGATAATGGTTCAAGGTCTTGGTCCTTGCTCCTGGACATCATGAGTTTTCTGAATATAAACGAACTGAACTACCTGGTAGAGCATCTTCTTTCAGCCTCCCGCTACCATCCCTGCACCCTAGCTCCCTCTCATGTGTGGTATTCCACTGTTAAACTGGATTTTATTGCTTCTCGGCCATTTGCCTAAAATCAAGTGTATTATCAAACTGGCTTTAAATGAATGAATTAAAGAGTGACCTTACAATAACCTGTTGAGCATCCCTTAGATACTTGGTCAGCAATGTAAAATTCTTGCTGAGATCTTGATTTGAAACATGGAAACACTGACACCGAGGTGGAATTCAGGGATTTAGTCGCAGTCCAAAGTCAGAAAAGGATGTAATTGAAAATCATAACCGTATCTGTGCCCAAAATACTTTCCTGCCACAATATCACATTACCTTCCCGAATGCTGCCACATAATTTTTCTATGCTGCGTTATGTAAATTTCAGCAGTAATTATTTCAGTCAAATGACCCCTAATTTTCTGAATTTTCCCCCCTTTTGTTCTTAGTTCATTAAAAATGTAGAGAGGAAAAGAAAATTAAACTAGTTACAAAAATTTTCAGATGACCAAGTTCTTATGAATTTCTGATTTTCTAGGATTTTAAATGTGTTATAATCGTCATAGTCCAGGTCATTCTGAACTTTACTCATTCTGAACTAAACTGTTAATAAAAAATATCTAATATTCTCTAGGTTTCAATTAAAGGCTTGGAAGATTATAGATACATTGATGTAGCTATAACTCCATCGTTGGCTATTCCTTTAGTAATTCTCAAGTAGCTAAGTAGAAAAGATCTGAAACTTTTGGGGAAAAAAATGAATATTTAAACTGCGATGAACTTCAATGTGAATTTTGTTCATTACCCAGACAAGAATGATAACTTTTATGGAATAGTTCTCTTCTTCCACTTTCATCAAAAATAAAATCATCTGCTGCTTTGCTCAAAGATATTATTAAAGATATTAGCATATATATATAAAAATATTAGCATGTTTTTTGCTCACAGCTGATTTAATTTGCAATAGGCCATGCAGTGATTGAAAGTAAACTTAAAGGCCCTAATGCCAGTTATTACTTTAGCTTTTGTTATTTTTATTCTAGATTTACACATGCATTATGCAACTTTTAAATGAAAATACAGTTTAGTGCATAAAAAAGCCAACAATCTTACAAACAAAGACTATTAAAGCAGACAATTACAGGAGTTGCTTTCAATACCTGGTTTTAAATCCCCATGGACAAACATGTCAATCATATATCGACAGAATGCATACTGATCTGACAGAGTAGAAAGGAAAAAAATAATTAAAACTTGTCATTAACAATTTTCTAATTCTTGAGACATATGCTTTAATAAGACAAAAATTCTATGTAAATAAAATTCCTTCTTTAAAGTAACAGCCTTTGAACAGAGGGGAAGCATACATAATAAATATAATGTTGATTTTATGTGGTATAGCATTCATCCGAAAGTTTGAAACATGTGCTTTGGGGGGTAATGCAATAGTGGTTGTTTAGGAAAAAAATCAAAGCAGTTTTGTCAAAGCAAATTCTATTATTTTCCCTTCAATAATGAAGAAAGAGTTTTACAAAAGGAAGTTGTTTCCAATTTGGAATGTTTTACCAAACATTCCCTCATAGCCCTTCTGCTGGCTGACTCAATGAAGTTGTGAGGCAGGCAGCATGAGGGCTTGCTCTTGGAGGATCTCCTAGGGAATGTGGGGCTGGAATGTTCTCATTAGAAGAAACCAGGAAGAACAGAGTAATAGTACTGAGTAATAATACAGTTAAGATAATCAATGAAGTAATCTTTGTAAGATCGTTTTCAGATCTACACTAGCACATGGTATACAAAAACAGTAAAAAGAAACATAGTGTCTGCACATTTGACTCCTAGTAAAAAATGACTTTAGGAGCTGATTTGGCTTTCCCTGTAAGGCCATTGTTCTGATTCTAAATTCTGATACAACTCTAGAGCCTCCTGAGTGCAGTCCCATCCCATCCAATCCATTATAATCTAATATGATACAATATTCATTTAATAAATTAATCTGTTTTTCCTCTATCTTCATTAAAAGTTCACATATTAGGAAATAAATTTTGCGCATAAAGATTTACACTTTAACATTGCAAGGATTTTCATTTTATTAACTCATAAAATGCAAAGGCAACTTTAGAACTGAAAGTTTATTGAATTTATGCAACATGAGACAATTATTTCATATTAGGTATATCAAACATGATATAACGAAATTCCACGTAAATACATAGTCAAGTATACTTGTAAACCGTATTTGTAGAGTTTTACCAGTATTTGTAGAGTAACTCACGTTTATTGCAAAGCTCTACCACGTCTTTGAAAAAATAAATGTGACTAATTCAGTAGATCAAAAGCATAATCTTTGCATTAAAACCTAATTTTAATAACTAAACAATCATACAAATTCTTAGATATTTCTTATATTTTGGTCGTTGTATTGGAGCACACTTTTCCCACCAGTGAGACTGGGAATGGAAAGTCAGTACCAGTTTTCTGTTTGCACTTTCATGGTGCTGAGGGTATTATCTGGGGTTTCTTCTCCCAGGGTTTTAGAACCCTATAGTATAAGAGATAAGTAGTACATACTTAGATATTGCTTTCTGCTTCCTGAGCAAAAGATCTCTCTTTTTTTTTTTTTTTGAGGAAAAAAAAATGTAGAATGAAAAATTAGTCTGGAAAACAAAGCAAAATAAAAAAAAAAAACATTTTCCCTAAATGGAAAATTTGAACTTTGACAAAGGAACGCTTTCTGAAACAGAGACTGCTTTCTCTCCTTTGAGAAGCTCTGATACTGTACTTTTCTTAGATTTTTTCTTCCAATAATTTGAAGACAGTTTTCAAATGGCAACTTAAACATCAGAAAGATGGTACAATTTGTTGAAATATAATTCTAGGCACCCATATCCAATAGACTACAATGCCATGGATCTATAAAGAATAGGCAGAAGTAACAGACCTCCCAGACAGTCTGATTGTGTTGCAGAATCACTACCACTGGTTGAAAACTGTGACAACAAAGGGGCAGTGAGGGGGGAGTTTTGTTTCTATGTACATTGAAAGTTTAGAACGTAGTATTTATTTATCATATGATAGATTTGCATAAGCTCCTAAAGACATTTTTTTCTCTGCTCCAAGTTGGGGTGTGTTCGTTAAATACATAAAATGTTGAATACTATCAAGAATTAAATGAAAAATTCACTCAACAGAGTGTTCTGTTTCACTGCATGTTGATACAGTAATGAAATGTTTTGGTCTGCTAAACTGAATGATTACCAAAATATGTTTGTATCTATTATGCAATATTTTATTAATATAAAATTATTCATTTAATTAATTTACCAACATTGGAATGGGTTTCTAATTTGAAAAGAAAATACTTCCAAACCCAAAGAACTATTTTTAGTATAAAATTACAACTTAACCAGGCCTGGCATGATAGCTTAGTGGTTAAAGTCCTCGCCTTGTACACCTGGAATCCCATATGGGTGCCAGTTCTAATCCTGACAGCCCTGTTTCCCATCCAGCTCCCTGCTTGTGGCATGGAAAAGCATCCAGGATGGCCCAAAGCCTTGAGATCCTGCACCTATGTGGGAGACCTAGAAGTAGCTCCTGGCTTGGGGAGTGAATCATTGGATGGAAGATCTTCCTCTCTGTCTCTCCTCCTCTCTGTATATCTGCCTTTCTAATAAAAATAAATAAATCTTAAAAAAACTACTACTTAAGTTACAAAAAAGTAGAGTTTCTAACCATTCATTCATGTACTTTTGGACTATAATAGAATGGCACCAACATATGACTAGAAATCCAAGAAGAATTTTTTTTCCAAAATATATTGTGAAATTTGAGGTACTCTTAAATTAGAGTACCGATTGGTACAAGTGCTCAGATTGGATCCTAACAGCATAAATGAACTCCAAAGCGGATTTGTTGGGGAGTCCCTAGGGTGTCTGCCTCATGTATCAAAGAACAAAGCAAATCAACCTTTCCTGATTTGAAACGGTTATTTTGCAGATGTTTCTTCCAAAAGTAAAACAAAAACAACAAAAATGTTAGTACAGGAAATATGTCCCGAACAAAACATGGATTTTCTTATTCCAATTCTCACAAATGCAGGACAGTCATTTTCATAAGACAATTTTATATTTTGCCAACATTCCTGAGTATTTTTTTACCCATATGAACTTCTTTCTTGGCAACATGCAGGTTTTCTATCTCTCTTTCCTGATCCTTAGGGAGCAGTAACGGGTATCAGTCAGCTGCTGCCTTTTTGGTATTCACTGTGCAGTGCAGCTGAGAGAAAAAAAAATGTATTCTGGATACAGGGTATCAACAAAAAGGTCATTAACAAAAACTACAATGAGGATGAGGCTCTCAGAGTTTCTTGTTCTAATTGCAGAATCACAGTAGCTATAAAATATTTTGACTCAGTTGTTCAAATATTAGAAAGATAAAAAGAATGAGAAACGTGTGTAGAAGCTAGGATATGATTTTTCTTTCTTCCACACTGTCTAGAGACCATCAAAAATTTTGGAAATTTAAGGAACGATATCTGATTATGTCAGCCTCTCTTGTCATACTTTGAATAGATTGGCCCATTATTAGGAAGCTGTATGATAAATAAATGTGTAAATTTATTTGACAGGCATGACATACACAAGAATTGCATTCTCAGTAGTTAAACAGAATAATGGTATTAATCAATATAGTACCAAGTAATCACATTGAAAACATTTATATATACAACTTCAAAAAAACTATGTGTGCTCATATAAAAATCTGCTTCCCAGTAGGTCACATAGATGTGTGCTCTATTTGTTAATAAAATTACTTGAATAGCTATATGAAACTACCTCGTGCTTGGTAGACCAAACATCTGCTAAGTGACTTGACAATCTCTTGCCTAAAAGATAATTAATTCAAAAAAATTGCAAAGCCTTCACTAGAACATTCCGAAAATCCAAATTATTTTTCTTGGTCCTAGTGTTGTTGTGCAACTGGTTAAGAACTGCCTGTAGTGGCAGAAGCCCGTAGGTTTGCTGATTCAAATCCTGGCTGCTCCATTTCTGACCCACCTTTCTGGCTAACGTGCCAGCAAGATGGTCTGTGACTTAGGTTTCTGTGTTCCCATAAGAGACACAATTGAAGCTCCTGGTTCCAAGCTGCATCCTAGCCAGCTTGTGGGCATTTGGGGGGTAAACTACCAGAGCGAAGATATATGACTCCCTTACTTTGTCTGTAACTGTTTTTTTTTTTTAAATAAAATCTTTTCATAATACACTAGGCTTTTTTTTAATTACCAAGCCTTGATTTATCATTTTCATTGAAATCATGATATGATTAGGTATTTATAAACAAATGCTCTTGACTATTTTTCTTAATAAAAGAATAAATTAGCATTTTTATATCTCTTACTAGTCATTAGAGGCAAACATTTGAATGTTTACTTAATGAAAGATTTATTTAATTGATGCTACTTGTTCTCAACAGGGAGCCTTGTTTTAGTAAAAGTATTTATTTAACTGATAAAACAATACTTTTACTTTTATATCTAAGTGATATTTGAATGTGTTTGTAACAGATAGTAGGTTTCCACATTAAAAACAAGAACCATACAATGCAAGTGAAAAATGACATAATGCTATTTAATAAATGTAATCACTAATATAAAAATATAGTGATTGTGACCTGGAAAATAAATTTTATATGAATGTATTTTGGCAATGTAAAATATGTACCCCAGAAATCTCAAAGATTGAAAAATGAGTTTAAAAATATATGCTCCTATTTCTAGTTGCTAAATAAGTATTTTAACATTCAGTTTAAAGTGAAATAAATTTTGGCATACTGTATTTGTGGATAAAAGATTAAAGTATGTTTGATATGAAAAAAAAACAATAAAGTATGTTTGGTATGCTTCCATTACTTCCATGTGTTTATTTTTTTTTAAGTGAAGAACTTAAAATGCAGGAACATGTTAAGCTCTAAGTAGATCTATTGGTAAGTCTGAGAAATGTATTTTAAGGTGTTTTTAATTTTTTTATTTGAAAGGCAGATTTATTGAAAGGAGAAAGATTCTTTTTGCTGATTCACTCCCCAGGTGGCCACAGTACCCACAACTGAGCCAGTCTCTGAAACCAGAAGCAAGGAACTTCCTTTGGGTTTTCTGCTTGGGTGCAGGGACCCAGGAACTTGAGCCACCCTCAGTTGCTTTTCCAGGCAACTTTCTGCAACAAGCAGAAAGCTGGATTAGAAGTGCAGTGTCAGGGATATGAATTATGGGATGCCAGTGATGCTGGCAGTTTAATCTGTACACCATTGTGAAAAACCCCTATATATATAAATATATATATATATATATATAATTTCCTATGTACCAAAATACTCCATTAAAATATCTCCAGTTTATTTACTATATTCATTTTCTATCCAAATTAATTTCTATATGATAATGTTTCTAAAGATCTAATAATTTAATATTTGCCAAAGAACATAATCACTTAGTGTTCCACAGTTTTAATTTCATTCATTTCTTACAATATTACACCGCACTAAATAAAATTTATCTAAGTTAAAATGTCTGAGATTCAGAAAAGGGAAATAATTAAAAACAGATCACCACTTTAATTTTTCCTTTCCTTTCCGAAATGTTTTTTGAAAGCATGTATTACTTGTCTTGCAAAGCAAAGTTTACAAGTGCTTATAAATTATAGTTTATAAATAATTAAATTGAAGTAAAAAAGACCATAGAATGAATAAAATACAGTGTGTTGCAAATTTCATATCTTATCTCTCACAGTAAGGAAACAGTTTCAGATTCAGTATCCAAATAACTTACTCTTCAATGAGCTCTAAAGATTTTTGAAGTAGAATCTATTAGAATCTGATTTTTTTATTTTAGCACTGAAATATTATTGCTAAAGTAAAGGAAAATTGTATATAATATGTAATTATATACAAATTATATAATCTATAAGAATCAACACCACAGATCAATATTTTACATTGAGAGTGAAATGAGAAGCTATGAACATGCCTCAGGCATCCTCCTACTTGTTTCACTTTTTAAAAAAATGATTTATTTGAATGACTTTCAGAGAGAAATGATTGTCTCCTCCCAAATGACCACATCGGCCAAAGCTGATCCAGGCCGAAGCCTGGAGACAGGAGGTTCCTGGAGCCTTCCACATGAGTGCAGGGTCCTGGTCAGCCACCTGCTAAAGCTCTCTCCCTAACACATGATCAGATACTGGATTAGAATCACAGCAACCAGGTCCACTACTGCCACCCACATAAGATGTTGCAGCAGCATTGCCTGTTATGCCAAGACAGGAGCCCTTCAGGGCCCCTCTTAATGTTTGCCACTTTCATGTTCATCCTAGCATCTTCCATAAAGAACTTCTGGTTAAAATTCTGCCCCCATTCACATGTTGCATCTGTAGCAAATAGGATGTAAGCCTGGCATTCCTGTGGTGAAAACGGATTCAATACACAAGAAGCTACATGTTCTGAAACCATATACAGTCAATGGAAACTAGTAAATAATCTCAAGTTATTTTATCAATAGTCCTTTCTTTTTTAAGTTAATGTGAATATTTAATGTATATTTTAAACAAAGTATTCCCTCAGTAGAATCAGAAATGTCTGGATAGTTTTTATAATAATGTGCATTTCATTTTAATATTGTTTCCCCCAAAAACCTCTTGATAATGCTATCACTCTTTCCAGACTGCTTTTTGTACACATAGGATAAATATAATCATTATTCCACTTCTTATTTGAATTTGTTTAGATCAAAAAGTCGGTATTTATCTCGAAGCTCTGAGTAAATCCAGATGCTAACTTAAAACCCCCATGAAAACCCTTTAAAAGATATATTTCTAATGTACAAACACATTGTACTCTGCGTATAGAGAAATAGTAATTTCCAATTTATTGTACCTTGAGTTTTTGCATATATATAAACATATACAAAATATATGTATATATGCATATATATGCACATAGCTCATCTTTCATCTCCGTTGGAATTCTGACCTTAGCCTTCAGGAAGTTTTAATCCCACTGCATCTGCTTCTTGCCCGTTATCCTCTTAGAATCTGCAGCTTCCTCCTCTGGATGTTTACCTTTCTGTTCATGTTTTGCAGCAGCTGCAGCTTCTTTGGCATCCTTCTCTTTAGATCTTGGTGTTTTCTCTACTTCCTTTGCTTTTGCAGCTGTTTGCTTCACTTTCTCCTGTTTTCCAACTTTCACTTCCTTCTTAGTCTTTTCTTCAGTCTTTTCTCTAGTTTTAGCTTTCTTCTCCTCTGTAGGGAGTTGGGAACAATTGGATTACTATAGTTTATTTCGAGACAGAATGTTTCATCTGCAAATGGTCACTACATACTTAAAAAATAGATGAGTAAAAAATAGATGAGTAGTGCTCTTGGCATAAGTATTTTTGACCCTTTTTATAGATTTGTGTATTTTTAAGTAAAACTATATTGGACTATCAATAAAGAGAAAACATAGCTCACTTGCAAGATGGGAATCTTTCAGAATTCAAAAATTAAAATATTTTACAGTAATCAGAATCTTAGCATGTCAACACAGAGACATTCAAAACATGCAGGAGATGTATGTACAAGTGTGTCCACAGTAGGGACATTTCCATATCCAAGAGCTAAGCGAATTAATCTCTTAAAGATACTAAGAGGATTTCATTCCACAACGGAACAATCACAACATTGCTCAAGAAGCAGAAATGCAACACTGTATTTCAAAAACGTAAATATTAGGAATGTACATATATGATTACTTGCTCTGTTACTAATAAAAATAAAGCAATTAAATCCATCAGAAGATAACTTGGATGTATAGTCTTTAACTATTTGGCTTAAATATACAAAGAGTGAAGAACTGAGATCCTGACTCAAAGATAATAATTCCCAGGGCTTATAAGACCTGAAGTATGTCTGAAGAAGAAAGCTCTAGAAATTAGAGTATCGTGAATGTAATTAATGTATTAAAATTTATACATTTTATACACACATAGTGATTTAATACTACATGCATTTGGTAAAGTAAATTGAAAGATTAATCATTCTCAATGCATTGCTTTTCAAAAGCAATAATAGTAATATAGTATGCAATTCTGGCAAACATTTATAATGCCCATTGCATTATGAATATTACTTATTATAGGGACATCATTTATTATAAGAACAACAGCAAAAGAGGAACAATAGTAAATCTACTGTAGTGTTGTAGTCAGTCATCATTTGCCATTTCGATGTGCAACATTTTTGTAAGATTTGTTTATTTTTATTACAAAGTCAGATATACAGAGAGGAGGACAGACGGAGAGGAACATCTTCCATCTGATGATTCACTCCCCAAGTGATCGCAACCGCAGTACTGCGCCGATCTGAAGCCGGGAAACAGGAACCTCTTCCAGGTCTCCCACGCAAGTGCAGAGTTCCAACGCTTTGAGCCGTCCTCAACTCCTTTCCCAGGCCACAAGCAGAGAGCTGGATGGGAAGTGGAGCTCCTGGGATTAGAAGCGGCACCCATATGGGATCCAGGGCCTTCAAGACAAGGACTTTAGCCACTAGGCGACTGCACCGAGCCCCATGTCCATCTTTTAATGTCAATCATATTAAAAGATATGATGAATCTTTTAATTCAGTAGAATTATGTTTTTCTACATTGGGACACCCAACAGTGACAAGGCTAATTTGAGGAGCTTTAAAATAAAATTAGAAAAAAAAAATTAATTTTTTTTAATTTGTTACAGAAAATATCTGAAATGCATGTTTTTTTTTCATAACATATTTTCCCTGAGCTGGTATTGTGAAGAAAAAAAGTGAAACTGAAAAGAAATAGTGAAATGGACAAACCACATGTTAGTTCAGTTGTAGAAACACAATCTTGTTTAGAAGTGCATTTAATTCATTGGACTAACCATCCCAATGCAATGATCCTCAGAAGCTTTCCCCACTGTCAGCGTCTGAAGAGAAAGTGTCATTGGAATGTCCAGCAGCACCTCAGAATTCATGCATGTCATACAGGAAAACCTCCGAAGCCCTCCCGAGAGCATGTTTTGACTTAGGTTCAGTTAGTTGACTGGGTCTTCAACTCAGCCTAGTAAAATAACTCTCCGAAGACATTTCTGCCTAATAGTTACAATTTTGAGACTTCATCCTGACTTCATCCTGTCTCTTTTCACATAGGTTAGTTTATTTTTCTTGAATATCTTTATATATTTCTGTCAAGAATTTTTAGAATAACTTCCAACTATTTCCGTTTTTCCATGTGTCTAAAATCTATCACGTTCATTCACATGCACATTTTTTCATTATTATTTTTTTAAAGCTCTATTTTTATTGGACAGTCAGATACACCGAGGAGGAGAGACAGAGAGAAAGATCTTTCATCCATGGCTCACTCCCCAAGCAGCTGCAACAGCTGGAGCTGAGTCAATCCAAAGCCAGGAGCCAGGAGCTTCTTCCAGGTCTCCCACATAGGTGCAGGATCCCAAGGCTTTGGGCCGTCCTGGACTGCTTTTCTACACCACAAGCAGGGAGCTGGAGGGGAAGCCTGGCTCCCGGGATTATTACCGGCTCCCATATGGGATCCTGGGGCATTCAAGGCAAGGACTTTAGCCGCTAGGCCACTGCGCCGGGCCCTCTAATATTGGTTTTAACTACTCCTTCCTCTTGGCTTGGCTTTGCCTGAATTTTATTTAAAACATGCATTTTATTCTTTATTATATATCAGATGTTTGCCCACTTGTCAAATTGACAGCAATTTAATGATAGGAACTCTATTATTGATTTTTGTGTCATCATACCTTCTATTACATTGCTTTCACATTGGAAACAAATAAATACTGAATTAGAAGATTTGATCGAGGGTGGTGTAAAATATGTACAGTATAGTGATAGGCATCACATATGTATACTTATGTTTAAAAATAAACTTATCCAAACATGGGAATTTTGTTAACTATTTTTTGACTATTTATATTGGGTGGAAATATTACTTTTGATTACCTATGCTTTCAATTGATTTAACCCTAGCTTCCTCTTTTTCTAACATAATCATAATTTAGAAATAGGAAAATTTGATTTTTAGAGACAAAATCGCATTGATTAACTCATCATTATCATTGATTCTGAGAATACAAGTGGGACATTTCCCCGTTTCCATTTATTTTTATTTTTTAAATTGTTAAAAATAATACAATTCCATAGGCTCAGGGATTTCCTCTCTCTCCCTTCCCTATTTTCCTCCTCTGTGACTTCCCCTATATTATTACGACAGCATAGTCCTTGAAAAACAGTCGTTAAGCCCGTCATTCTGCAACTTAGCTGTATTCTGATATGGTGTATTCTGATATTCCGTATTCTGATAGACAACAGATTAAAATACAACCTACTATTGTCAAAATAAATTTAACAGTGGTACATCAACTCCCTGGAATATTATTCAGTCACAAAAAATAATGAAATTATACCATCTGAAACTAGATGGTCCCAAATAGAGACCATTATGCTCAGTGAAATAAGTCAATCACAAAAGAACAAATAGCATGAATAAAATGACTTTGAACTTTATAAAAATAATTTCACAAAACTCTGTGATATAAAGAGCCTAGAATTTACATCCCAGACCTCTTTGGAATTTCCCTAGAAATTGTTAACCAGTCAATGTGCAAAAAATGCTATACTGTGCTCATTTTACAGATGAGGAATGGGAGAGTCAAAAGGACAGACAGTCACCATGAACATTGTTGTGACACAGCAGGGAAACTTCACCTTTGATGCTGCTTAGTCCTGGCTTCAGTTCTGGCTGCTGCATTTGTGATCCATTTTAGGATATGTTAGGACAAGCCAAGGGAGATTGCCCAAGAGCTTGGGTCTGCTTCATCCTTGCCCTTCTCTAGCCATTGGGATCATTTGGAGAGTGAACAAGGAGATGAAAGATATCTTTGTCTCTCTCTCTCTCTCTCTCTCTCTCTCTCTCTCTCTCTCTCTCAGGAATAGAAATAGCAAAACCAGAGCATCCACATCATTGCTCAAGTACACTGAATTATATAATATTAACTAACTCTCTGCATGAACCAGAAAATGTGTTTTAAGACATATGATACAAGAACCAAAACACGCATGGGCCAAGTATAGACAGTAAATGCCTTCCTGTCCAGGTCTGAATCAGTAGTTGTCATCCAACACACCTTATAAAGTTTAAAGAAAGAAATCACTACTTCTGAACACATTGATTAGCTTGATCCAAACTTCCCTCTCTTTTGCTTAGCTACATTTCTATGAATGTCTTGTTCTTTCCTTCTTTAAAACTATAACTATAGGAGCAGGTGCAGTGCCACAGTAAGCTAATCCTCTGCTGTTTGGTGCTGGCATCCTATTTGGAACCTAGTTCCAGACCTAGCTGTTCCACTTCCAGTCCTTCTCTCTGCTTAAGTCCTGGGATAGCAGCTGAGGCTAACTCAGGTCCTTGAGAACTTATACCCATGGGGGAGCCCTGGAATAAGCTCTGTAGCTCCTTGTCTCCCAGGTTTGCATCATCAGCTCTGGCTGTTAAGGCTATTTTGTAAGTGAACTAGAGGACAGAATCCCTCCACCCCCTTTTTTTCCTCTCTCTCTTTCTGTGTTTAAAGTCTGCCTTTTTAATAAAAATAGATAAATCTTTTTAAACAACAGAAGCAGGCTGGATTTCACAGTGGATACATAGTTCTGTATTTGTACCATGGTGCATATTAAAAAGCCAACCGTTCCTCAGAGGGATGTCTAGCCATCAGTTGCTGCCTGTGGCCCAGCAGTGCTTGAAACAGAGCAGTGCACGCTTGGTTCCACAGCCGTGTTTCTGCAAATCAAAGGTTTCCAGACATAGATTCCCCTTTGATTCAGATTTCAAAAGAACCTTATTCCAAATGTCACATACTATGCCATAGGCCTTTTAAATCATATTTTGTTTTCTCAGAAGCCCACCAATCATGGACTTGTTATTACTAACATAACACATATACATGCATTGAATAAAAATGAAAGCTATGTGAATGCACATTTACACATGTGCCTGAATGCACGTGTGTGCATGCACACATATGGATGTAACAGAAAGAAAATGCAGAAAACACATTCAAGATTGTTTTCAATGATCTTCACTGTCTGAAATTTGCATGCTATTGCAATTTTATTTCTGTAAATATGGGTTAGCCTAGCAACTCGTTATGTGGCCGAAGTGATCAGCTGTAGGTTCCACACTGACAACACAGATTGTGATTTTTGTCTTACTAACACATTCTCTTGCTAGTTTTGAATGAGACAACTAGCATGTGAGTGTTCACAATGTACCAACCAGCAAGGAACTTAAGCTTTCATTTAAACAGCCCTGGAGAAACTGAATTGTGCCAACAACACAGATGATTTAGATATAAATTTTTCCTACATTGAACATTCAAGTTAGAGAGCATCTCTGGTTAACAGACCACTTGCAATCTCATGAGTGATTGTTAAAAACGTGATTGATCTAAAGAGTACACGGATTCCCTGAACAACAGATGTGGTGAAAAAGACATTCTAAACTGACTTGAGCCTTAAAGTCTGTGATAACTTTTTAAACACCAACAGATAACTAATATACATGAAATATACACCTGTTGAAGCTTTTTTAGAATTGTTTTTGGGGAAAAAAAAGCTTGATTTATATTAGCATACCTGAATTTTTGCCTGAATCTATATTAAATTTCTACCTGTAGTCTCCCAGGAAAACTGGCTTCCACGCCTGCTAACACCCGGGCAGAATCTGTTTCCTCCGTGTCTGCACTGTGTCCTCAGTTTTATGTCAGTCAAAGGGAACACGCCCTCACACTTCCAACCTCATTTTCTTGTCTGTTGTTTCTTTTTGTTACAAACACTTCTTATACTACATTGAAACCACTGAGATAAACCGGGATCAAATCTGAATACCACAGCAACTATTTTAGCCCTTGTAAAATTATTAATTTTTTTTACTAATGTAACACAACCAGAAGACGACATCAAGAGGTAAAAATTCACAGAGGCTAAAATTGGGCCAAACATGATGAAAGTTTTTATTTTTCTGTAACATTTTGAGATTGTTTATTAAGTTTTTAGTTTCATTATTATTTTATATTTAATTTTTTTAATGAGATGAAATTTCTTTTTTTATGCAATGAAATACTGAATGCTTACAAACATATAGCTCTTACACAACATGTAATTACTTAGTTAAAAAACAGAGAAATATTAAAGGCAAAAGTTACCTTTTGTTAATAACTTTGTTTCTGGTTTTTCTTTTTTCTCAAGTTTTTCCTTGTGAGTTGCTAAAATAGAAAAAATTCACATTAGTGCATTATTTTAATATATTTCATAACCAATTAACCAGTTCCATAGTTACTAAAATCATTAAATATTTTAAAGACTTATGACATTACTGTGCCTTTTTCTTTCCTAAGAAAATATAGGAGATTTTAATTTAGGCAAACGTTTGTTTTACCTAAAATCCCAAAAGCACAATTCATCCTGCTCCCCCAGGGATAATTCCTTTTAACATTTGCTATATTAATCCAAGCTGGTTTCTCACTCAACTCAATATTAAAGGTATTTAGAATCAAACCATTTTTAATTTTAATTTTTTTTGATACAGTTTAGTTGGCTTGGGGTCTCCGTTTCTCCTCTGCCACTTTCCCTCCCTTCTCCTCTGCTCTCCCCTCCAGTCTTACAATGGCCTTTTTCAAGAATAAAGAATTACCAGCGTAAGAGAAAGTTTAACATAAAAAGCCTAGCATTAAGACCAAGAAAGAACCTCTTTCTTAAGCCACTATTCCAAAAAGAAGCTTTTAAGGAAGAAATTCCAACAGAAAAAAAATTGCATTAGAATTTATTGAAGCACATATATAGTTATGCCAAGATGAAACACTCTTTTTAGAATTACTAATAAGAAATGCTTAAATCACGGCTAAAGATTTAATTAAGCCCAATAAAGGATGTTTTTCTTAGCAGGAAGGAACTAAGAAATAGCTTGAATGACTGTTGTCAAAGTTCGATGTAGATTAAAATTGCATCATCAGAGATGATTACACAAATAACAAGTTAAAATAATATGACTCTGATACTTGATTTATTTTTGCCAACTATCCAGTCAATATCTTATTATTAGTATTCCAATAAATATAAATAATTGTAACTCTACAATTTGCTACTCTAATTGTTAATTCTAAGAGGATGTGCACATAAAATTTTGACAAAGCAGTAAGTACATTTATTTATTAATTTACTTATATTTTGAGATTCTAGATACATACTAAAGGGCAGATGCAATAGTTTCTAAATAATATATATTTATTATTAAATTATAATCTTTACCTAATTGTGTTTATAAATATATTATATTGATCACTAAATCGAGAAATTCAATCTATGAATGCTTTCCTCCAGATTCTGCATGAGGTCTATGAGCCTGGTCAGAAGTTTAAAACATGATGTCTAACTGCAGACCAAGTGTTTCTGGCAGATACACTGCAGCCAACTAGCCAGTACCTCCTCCTCCCCCAGGGATCCAGTCTCTTTAACAGGCCTCGTATATTTCCATTTTGAAGTATTGGTGATAGCTAGGAAACAGTAGGAGAAGGAGCACTAAGCTAGGCTCATCCACGGCAGCAGGCAGTAAATCATAGTAACATTAATAACAATTTGTTCATCAGCAACAATATTGATAATATAGTTTACTAACTAAACTCCCACAGGTACTGCGTATCTGTCAAACTACATAAATAATCAAAAGATAAAGTCCAACAGGTAATTAAAATATGAAAAGTAAAATAATGACATCTGTTTTTTGTTATTTTCTTTTTTTCCCCTTTTTTACGTCAATCTGCCTGATATTTCTGAAATATATCCTCAGCATTGGGTTAAGACAATCTCACAAGTCTCAGAGGAAAAGTTGCTGCAAATTCTTTAGAAAACAAAGTGGTTACAAACTTTAAGGATGTGAAGTGTTTTATTCTCTTCCATCCAGAAATCCTCTTTTCTGATTACATTTTGAAGAAATGATCACACTAATATATATTTTTTTAAAGATTTATTTATTTATTGGAAAGTTAGATATACAGAGAGGAGGAGAGACAGAGAGGAAGATCCTCCAACTGATGATTCACTCCCCAAATGATCGCAATGGCCGATGCTATGCCGATCCAAAGCCAGGATCCAGGAACTTCTTCTGGGTATCCCACACACAGGTGCACGGTCCCAAAACCCTGGGCCATCCTCAACTCCTTTCCCAGGCCACAAGCAGGGAGCTGGATGGGAAGTGGAGCTGCCGGGATTAGAACTGGTGCCCATATGGGATCCCAGTGCGTTCAAGGCAAGGACTTTAGCCACTAGGCCACTGCGCAGGGCAAACACTAATATTCTTAAAAGATATGTGTGGTCATCTGAGCTCTGAATATAAAGAAGGGGTTATCAAAGAGGAGAGTTTAGGTTAATGTCTTCCAGAGGAAAAACACCATACCTTTCTTTTCAGTTTTTTCTTTCTCCTTTATTTTTTCTCTTTCTTTTTCTCTGTGTGTCACTGGAAGAAAACAGATAATCAGGTAATAACTTCCTTTAAATAAAAATAATTATTAGCAGTTTTTGTGTCGGTAATTCATTTGTAGCTTAGAAATCTTTTACCGGTGTGAATCTAACTGCAATACTCCTAGGCTTAAATTTCAAGATGATAAATTTTTAGCTTATGTTCATAGTCAAGCCCAAATCTAAGTCTAGCACAAAATTCAGTTCTGATTGCAAATGTAGCATTATGCCTCCAACTTTCCAAATATTTTTGCTCTATGAATTGCAGAATAAAAGTTATCAAAATTAACATAACATACCCTAAAGCAGCCTAGTTCTGATATGAGATGAAACGTAGAATACAAGTATTAATATATAGAGACGTGCATTTCCTGCTACACCTGAAGCAAACAATCATCAACCTAAATTTTTGTATTAATTGCCTATAGGAATTTCCTACTCTATTTTTTTCAGCATACTGGAATAAGACTATAATAGCATAGAACCTTCCAAATATTAAAAAATAGGTAATATGAGCTATAATTCAATGTATTATTACAACATGATTGAACTGAATTTGTAATCTTAGCTCACACTTTATTCATAATTCTTACTAATTTCCCAAATTATAGAACTGTAGCTCGTCTCTGATGATTTTGCTTCCACTTATTTTCCAGTTCTCTTGATTTGCCAAATTCTGTGTAAATAATGCCACCATGTTTTAAAACATGCCAAGCAAGACAGAGTCCATCCTTGCCATCATGATATCAACAAGCTACTGAATGATGATGGATGCTAAACAAACAATTGCAGCTAAAACTGATGTAAAAAGTATTCAAGGTGTCACGCTGTTGTGTAAAACAGGAAACAATATCACTCTATGATGGGAAAGCCATCCAGTGGAAGTTAATATTTCACGATGTTAAAACTGAGAAGGAAAGAGCCTTGTTAAAAGAATGGAAAAGAGAGCATTTCAGAACATTGCAGCAGGATGTCCATAGTAGGTATGTATTACTCGACTTTCTATTGCCAAACTATACTAAACAGCTTCTAAAAACTTTACTTTTCACGTTTTTCTCATAGTAAAGCTGCTAACAGGAAAGTCTTACTACATAATTCACCTGTAAACAGATATTAGTATCTCACTCCATCGTTAGTTTTGTACTTGCCACCTGTTAAAAAGTCAAATATTTTTAATACCTCAAAAATATAGCATTAGTTTACCAATGCGATTTTATATGCCAGGGTTTCAGATTATTGCAAACTGTATGTAATCATACAAACACACTACATGAGCCACCATGACTCTGATCATCTACCAGATTGTGTTTTCCACCCAGAGTTCCCCCTTCCTTATTTCTTCATTCCTCTTTACATTCTTCATTACATCACTTCTATGTATCATATTTTCATTTTTCATTTAAAATAATACTAAAATGTTCACTTTTCTTATTAGCCAGTGAGTTAAATCTTTACAAGCTGTGACAAAGGAGTCTATTCTGGTACCCTTGGCTCATCATTTGCTAGCTGTCATTTGATAGACCCAATATATTTTGGTTAAATTAAATTCTAAAATATTAAAAAATTAGGTAGCTCATCTAGAGTAATTCTCCTTATGGAAAATTGATAGAGATTTAATCACCACTTCTTTTCAATAATTTTTTAAACTTTCTTAAGCAAAACCTTAAGTAATTGAATTCTAAAAAGAAATATAAATAGTACAAATACAATATGGAAATATTATTTTTCATTCTATATTTAAAATTTCTTTTAGATGCTTGTAGACTAAGTGCAAACATATATTTCACTATATAATGGAAGAAAATCATTTATGTTGACCACATGTAATTTATTCGGGTTCCTTTGGATTCCTAATAATTAAGCTGAAAGCCAAAAGAAATTCTTGGCGAGAACAAAACATCTTTGAATGTTTACCTACAAGTAAGCCAAGTTTGCATGTGATAAACTGGGCTTGCAAGAGGCATGGTTGAGAAGAATCTCATGGGGATACCTAATCAGTGGGCTGTGTTCATCAGGGACAGGCCTGACCCACCTCAGACAGCTGGTTGTCCATTCCACTAAAGGATTTTCAGATTGACGTGTGCACAGACATAAATGGAAGAATTAATACAAAATAAAAAGAGAAAGAGTTTGGGGATGAATTCAGACTCAAATTAGCATATTAATGCTTCATTCCTGTTTCCTTGGGGAAAAATCTGGCTTTTCCCAATCAAAATTTTGACTCACACACAGTACTGTAAGCTGGAATTTCATTATTCCCCCTCTGACACAGCACCATAACACAGCTTAGGGTAGCAGCTGGACCCAAGGACTCCAGGGAGCTTTTCAGAATGGCAGGCAGCCACTAAAGCCGTTTGGACCCAAACTGTAAACTCTGACAAGACTGCATTTCAAATACCAAATTTTGAAATTATTTTCATCACAATGACACCACTGTCACTAACTGCATTGATAATCACCCTAAAATAAAAATGGTTTGCCACACATACTGCATTTAATTTTTAGTCTCTTTGCTTTGAACCCCATAACTAAAATGCTCATATGGAATAAGAAAGAGTAGCTCTTTGTCATAAGCCCTGTTTGGCAAGTTAGCCAAGACAGTTTTAGCTCAGGACAAAATAAGCTCTTTGCACCTGCTAGAGCTTAATTTGTTTGTCATCCTTATTTACAAGAAACAAAAGTCCCTCTGGTGTGCTGATAATGAAAAACAAATGGAATCCACCAGTTGGAATAACCCTGATGTTGGCATTTGAATTGGCCCAGCTCCACTGTTCCTGTATTTGTCCAGACTCTGACCTTTCCCTGGGCAGAACATTCAGCTCAACTCCACTTTAAGGCACAGCTCTTAAAATATGGCACCTCTCCAGCACTCAGAGCTGTGCTCCTTGGGCCAACTCTGCCTTTTTCTGAAGTTATCAGAAGCACAATACCTCTGACTCTGTGCTTTCAGAGGGTCAAAACACTCCCTAAGGACAAAAGAATAGGTAGCCAGTTTTTCAGAGGTCTCTGCTTGATGATTCAGCCCTTAGTTTGAAAATCAGAAATTTTAGTGCCAAAATAATTCAAGTGCTGATTTGTATAAGCTATGCTATTCTTTGATTTGTGGTTAGGAAAAAAAAAAATTAACTAAAGCCTTGGAATTCATACTTGACACAAACAGCACAAGGCTAATCTTAAGGGCCTGAACCAAAAGAAAATAGATAAGTAAGCAAGCATTAAATCTTCTCATTGCAAAAATACAGGGAGCATTTACCTCTAAGAGATTTCATTTTCCTTTTAATTAATCTCTCTATTTTTCAGAGTTCTGCTGCTGGGCTTATGAGGCACTATAGTAACAAAGTAATGAATTAATTCTAAGGAGGTAAGCCAGGTTCCATGAAAATAACATGGCATCTCGGTTTTATTTCTTTCTTCATTTTGTTGCAAAAGAGCACAGCATGCATTTGTTTGAAATCTTGTGAAGAAAACAAGTCTACATTTCAACTACCTCTAAATAAGTATCAAATGTATTCTTGCTTAGTGTCCATTTTCATTTATGAATTTAGTTTTTTAACTGCTTCATAAAATTTCAGTTCTGTGCTAAAGCAAAGTGATCTAAAGGTTTGTTAACAGTCCATGATGAACTCAGCAGAGAAAGGATCTTGAACAGGGAAAATTTCTTAAATATTCTATCTTCATTCTTCTCAAAGGGGTATTGTATCACTTGATTTTGAATGTAAGCAGAAAGTTTTAGAGTTTAACCAGCCTGAGCATCTTCGTCCAAAAATTAAAACACAGATTGCAAATGCCCAAGACAGAATAAGAAATGATTTTCGGGCCCGGCGCGGTGGCGCAAGTGGTTAAGCTCCTCGCCTTGCACGCCCAGGATCCCATATGGGCGCTAGTTCTATCCCAGCAGCCCCGCTTCCCTTCCAGCTCCCTGCCTGTGGCCCGGGAAAGCAGTTGAGGACGGCCCAAAGCTTTGGGACCCTGCACCCGCGTGGGAGACCCGGAAGAGGCTCCTGGCTTCGGATCGCCATAGTATCGACCGTTGCGCTCACTTGGGGAGTGAATCATCAGATGGAAGATCTTCCTCTCTGTCTCTCCTCTGTGTATATCCGCCTTTCCAATAAAAAAAAATAATAATAAAAATAAATCTTTAAAAAAATGATTTTCCCACAGTTACCTGATTATTAACTCAACACTCTTCCCCAAATCTATCCTGTCATGTCTGTATAGATACTGCATATTCTATAACCCTATTCTTATGAGCCATAGTCTGATGATTGGGCTCTCTAAACATTCCACCATTGTTTATCATTGAAAAGTAAACACATTTTCCTTTTCTTTTATTTTTTAAGATGTACTTATTTTCATTTGAAAGGCAGATTCATAGAAAGCAGAAATAAAGAGAAGGTCTTCTATCCCTGGTTCACTCCCCGCAAATGGCCACAAAAGTGGGAGCTGAGCTGACCAGAAGCTTGTAGCCAGGAGCTTTTTCTGGGTCTCCCACATGGATATAGGGACTCAAGAACTTGTGCCTCTTCTGCTCACGTCCTAGGTCATTAGCAGGAAGCTGGATAAGACGCAGAGCAGCCCATATGGAATTGCAGCACCACAGGGTAGAATGTTATCCTGTTGACCGAAGGCACCAGGCCCAATGTTGTATTTAAAACAGAGATTTGATCCACAGCAAGGATTAGCAAAGTTAATAGATATGGATTTGAAATATAGTAAGGGTGTAGACATTTTGCATGGTAATTAAGAAGCCTCTTGCATCCCAAATGAGAATAATACCTATGCTCAAGTCCCAACTTTGATTACAGTTGCAGCTCCCTGCCAATGTACACCCTGGGAGACAACAGTAATGGCTGCAGTGCTTGGGTTCCTGCCATGCAATTGGGAGAACTGGATTAAGTTCCCTTCTTCATGGCTGGCATTGATTTTGAAAAGTGAGCCAGCAATTAAGATATCCTCTCTGGCTCTCTCTCTCTCTCTCTCTCTCTCTCTCTCTCTCTC